ACTAGTTGACTGACTACCCGATAAGCATTTGCTTATCAGATAGTCGACTAGTCCTTAACATCCCTACAGTGAACATCAGTTTCACCCCCACATACAAACTGAAGAAAAAATATTTCCACTGATGACACAAATTTGCAGTTAGACAAAGTAAGAAAAAAGCTATTTGAGAACATAGACTATAATTAAATAATTACTGTCTGACACCTCCATCCATAATATCCAGCACTAAAACAGGTACTTTGTCAAAATTATTAAAAACAAGAAATACTCAGGCTTGGCAGAGCTCTATAACTATGAGAAATTTTCAGTCCCGCAAGTGTAAATGAACTTGTGTTCCAAGTTACACTGATTTTCAAATCATAGTTCCACTTCAGATATTACAATCTATTAGAAAGCTTAACCCATCTAATAAAGAATGAGAAAAAAAATCCAGAAGAATATTTCGAGCTACCCACGCTGATTAACGTAGGAAAGTAAATTTTAAGGCAAAAATTACTTAAATAGGGTCTGCAGAAATCTTGCCAATATTAAACCACATTATCTTCCTTACACCACAAAAAAGTGTTTAAAATCATGAAACCCCTCAAATAGGCACATTTAACAAATATTGTTCCCATTTACAAGGCAGCCAAAGAGCCCAAAGTAGTATCAGCCAGCGAAAGTCACTGGATTTATGTTCCTAAACCCATTACAAAAAATGTAAACCAAAGTTCTAACACACTCTAGAAGTGTTATAAGAAAATATAGTGTTCTCTTCTACCTTTCATCAGAAGATTTATGCATGCAATCCCTGCACACACTTTACATCAGGCACAACTAAATTGATTATCCCAGTACAAAGACCTTGTTCTAGGCAGGATTTCTCCCCCTTAAGGTTTAATTTATCATCCAATTAGTGGCTCTTACCTAGTTTATATTGATCATTACAATCCCTGTGCTGCAAACGTCTAATCAGCTCCAACTTGGCTAAGTAGGGTCCCCGAAGTGGCCGAGAGCTCTTAGCTTCTTCCGTTATTCTTTCCTCTACAAATTTCACAGCTTGCTCTGTAGAATAATGCACTTCTCCCTCCAAAGAGCTGTGCAGTTAAAGACATTAGTATTGATTGAAGTATTCTTGTATCATTCCCACTTCTGAGGTACTGTCAGTAAGTGGTAAACAGGCCTTAGCACCACTCCCTCAAGGCTATCAGGTTCAACAGACTCTAAGACCCATGAAGGGAGCAGGCTAAGGAAGCTCTAAGAGTCAAAACTAGCATTATCTGCCTGCTTCTCTTGTAATAAGGGCCAGCTGGGTGTCGCTATCTACCAGCCGCCATGATGGCACTTGAAATAGAGGACTCCACATTAAGATACAGTTACACTAGCTAACTACCTAGACTGGATACACTAAAGCAGGGATGGGAAACTGACAGCTTGGGGTCTGCAATTTGGCCTGCCAAATCATTCGGTTTTGCCCACTGCCGCACAGATTGGGGTAGGCAACCTGGCAGATTGGGGTAGGCAAACATAGCATCACATTGCAGGGGGAGGGTCCCGCCTAATGCATGTGTTACATGACTCTGGTGAATCCAATGAGCTGGAGCAGGGAGTGGAGCACAGCCCTGAGGGACAGGAACTGTTGCCATAGACAAGCTCTCCCCACACTCCCTTGGAGGAAGGGCCCAACCTCAGTCTCATAGCTCAGCCCACCAATGATTTTAGACGGTTTTGTGGTCCTCAACTGCCTTAAAAGTTGCCCATCCATGCACTAAAGTACAACTACCAAGGGGGACAAACTATGATTTTGGCATCTACAGTGTGAAGAGGGAAAAACACCCTCAGGGATAATTGACTTACTGCTCTCCTTCTTCTGGAGGAGTCCAGGATTTGTCAATGAGTTGAAAGACTGAATCAAAGTACATTATATAGAATTGCCAATCATCTGAGCTATAAACAGGCAAGGAGCAAAATTAAGGAAAGCGCAAATGTTACTCACATACAGGTTTACTCCATTATAGGAACCAAGTTAGATCTTGCAAGTCACAGAACAACTAACACACATAGAAGACTCACACTAAGACCCATTTTCACTAGAAAATGTCCCATCTTAAAGGAACACTGGTAAACATATTTCAAGAAATTCAATTTATATTTTAAGTTTTCTACAATTTAAAAAAAAAAAAAATTTTTTTTACTCCAATTTGCATTTACAAAAGGTCTTTCCAAAAAAGGAGAGCGCAGGAACAATAGTAGCGCCACCAAATTGCTAACACAGAAATCAGGGAATGCATCCGATCTAACCATCAAACCAACCAGTGAAATGGAGTATACACAAAGTGCTGCAAAATGCACAAAGGAAAAAAAAAATCAATTTACTATCTCAAGCTAACATTTCAGTTGTCACCACCTTAGCTGATGCAAGGTCACTGTGCCCCCCGCTCCCCTTTCTGAACAAGCATGATTTTCCTAAACTTTCAGAGGGGTAGCCAAGTTAGCCTATAACTGGAAAAAACTTTTAAAAAGCGTGGTCTAGCACAGGGTTGGGCAATAATTTTTGAAGGGGGCCACTTCACAAATTCCAGAAGTGGCCACGGGCCAACCTGGAAGGAGCGGGGTTGAGAGCTACCCTTCTGGAAGCTTTGCTTGGCCTGGGGTCCCTGCCCCCTGACTTCCGGCCAATGGAAGGGACCTGGAGCAGAGGGGAGGGTGCTGGGGGCTAGCCTCCTCCCAGAGTTGTCTGGAGTGGAAGCTTAGATTTCATATAACAAGGATTGCAGCTCCTGGCTCCCCACTGCTAACCTGTTGCCTGGCAGCTGCCCGGTCGGCACAAGCCCTTTGAAGAGAAGCAGTTGAAAGAGCTCGTGTCTCTGGCTCCCTAGCAACACGCTAGAGGCGCCGGGAGCAGCGAGCCCTTTTAAGGGCTTCTATTTAAAGTGCCGGCCCCTTTCCCTGCCTAACTGTAGGTTAGGCCCCAAAGCGAGCCATCGCTCATTACCTCACTTTAATGGGGTCAAAAAGAAATGATTTTTAAGGGGATAGGTGCCCTTTCCTGGTGTCAGACTGAACATCACAAAATCACTAGCGATTGAACCTCTATAGTCTAGCACCTTCAGGACCTTAGAATTTGTCAGACCATGGAAGGTCAATATCAACTAGCACTATTACCAACAATTCCACTGCTTACTGGGCTCTTATAAGACATTTAGTGGTAAATTACAGCTAGATAACAGCACAGAACAGTGAGAGCCAACTCTGGAGGCTGTAAAAAACTTTATGGGACTCTGGGAAACTTGGCCACACCCAGAATAAGTGGAAAAACTTAAAAAATCACAAATAATCTAGCAGTACCTTAAAGACTAACAAAACATGTGGATGGTATCATGAGCTTTTGTGCATACAGCCCACTTCTTCAGCTGGAGTATTTTAAGTCCAGTTCCAAAATAAATAGGGGATGGGGAGGGGAAGAAGGAAGGGAAAAAATAGTGAATTAGAGTGTTCATGTTACATGAAGCTGATTGAGAACAATTTGCACCTTCTCGAATACCCATTGTTTGTTTGTTTTTTTAAAGTAAGCCATTAGGATGTGGAGGGTAGTGTGCTAGCCAGGTAATGTCTCTGGTCATACATTTGTGATGGGTCCCAAACTAGGGATGTAATAGTGTAGTCAATTAACCGATTATCCGATAAGCAAAAGCTTATAGGTTAATGCTATAGACTACACACATTTCCCTCACCCGGACAGGGGCTGCTGCCACCCTGCCCTACATTTTCATACCCTTGACCAATGTAATTACGTTGCCTTAAGTAGTAGTGTAAATCAGCTACCAGAAGAAAGTCTGGCAGATTAGAAGAACCAGGTTGTACAAAATAGTTGTTAAAAAAAAAAATTCAAGTTACAGCTAATTTTTAGGGAAAAAATGCAGACATGTTGGACAGTAAGGTATTTCCAGTGTCTGGAAATAGAGACTGAAATTAGTTTTTCCACAGGAGGCCAAGTGCTGCTTAATTCACTTGTTCACTGTGAGAGTTAGCAGAGCTTCTATGTGAATGAATGATAATTTGCAGTTATATCACCTTTCAGCAGAGAATCTCAAAACACTTTTCAAGCATTCGGTCTCAAGCCTTGAGAGATAGCTAATTGAGGTAAAGCAGAGAAGGGACTTGTCCAAGGCCACAGAGTGAGTCAGTAGCATAGATTTGACCATACTGCAGCCATCCTAACTTTTTTACTCCAACTACTACACATGCTCTCTATCACAGGAATGAAATAAGTGTATGTTGTCTGAACAGCCCATGTTTCTCATTTTCAATTCTTTATTTTTTTAAAAAAAAGACAGCTGAAATTTCAACTTACTTTTTCAGTAGCAACCTCCTAGACAATGCGTTGCATTCTGGCCACTTGCACAGTTTTTTATACAGTGCCATACACTTATTCTCTCGACTCTGGAGCTCACTGGTCAGCTTCTCTAAATCAGAAATAGTTGCAAATGTATATCAATATTTTTTCCTTAACTTTCAGAATAAAATATTCTCTTATCCTACATAAGATGCAAAAGAGAGGGGAGCACACACACCCACCGACCCTCCTCTGAAACCAGTGGGCCAGGACTGAAATCTATGACCAATGCCAAAAAGGAGTGCTAAACCAAGCAGTCAGTAACAAATTTAAGGTCCTATATCTTGCAGACCGACGGTGCTAGAAATGAGTGCTTTGTTATTGAAAAGCCAGGAGACCTAACAATTTTTACGGACAGGTACCTCATCAGGGTTAGAAACTCTTTGCTGGATCTGCACACACTTTCCAACTGAAGAAAGTGCTGATCCTGTGATTAGAAAGAAAAACATCTTATGCCTGATTATTGGTCAACATATGGCATAAGGAGGGACTGAAACTATTAAAGCCATCTTAACAACTACCCTCCTTCTCCTGCTAGACGATGAAGAGCATAACTCCCCAATCCCAATTCACAGGATGAGCCAAAGACGAATAGATACCACATTTAACTTCTAACAAATAATGATACAGGATATTTTCTCTATGGAAAAACAAGAAATTCAGAATTAAGGTTATACTGAGGCTATGTCTAGACTACGTGGAAGATTTGAAAGAGGATATGCAAATTCTTCAGGATCTTACTCCGATCTCGCTTTTGAAAGTGAAAGTAGTCTGGATGCGTTTTTTTCAGGAAAAAACCCCCTCTTGGGAAAAAACAAAAACACGTAAACCTCATTTTTTTAAGGAAGAGGTTTTTTCGAAAAAGGGTTTTTCCCCTCCAAAAAAAAAAACCACCCCTGCATCCAGACTACTGTCGCTTTCAAAAGTTCAGTGGGAATTTGCATATCCTCTTTCAAAAATAGAGCGTAGTCTAGACATAGCCTCAGGGTGCATCTACATGGAACAGTAACTAATAATAAGATACTCATTTGAGCTATGCAGATTGTTTATCTTATTTCAATGCTATTTTGAAATAGTTTATTTCATCATTTGGCATGCTAGAGATATGACACAGAAGATGCTGGGCCCATGGTGCAAAATGCTCACTTGAAAACACAATTCTGCACTCAGTCTTAGAGTATGGCTAGAACCTTGATGTTCTGGCTGCCTTTAAGCTACAAACATGCATTTTTGTGGTAGAAAAATAAAGCCATACAGAAGAAAGGGGCGTGCCATCCCTAGCAACACTGATTCTAAAATGGTAGCTGTGAGCTGACAACCTGGGATTTTGTAGGTGCAGTTACATTAATCTGATAATTTCCCTTTGTACAACATGCTGCTTACTTTAACACTGTGTGATGTAGTGGGGATTGCGTTCGCTCTGTTTGCTTTTTTATGCTGTGCATGATTCCTACTGCCCTGTGCTGCTCTGTTGTAACCATGTGTGCATACCTCAGTGCCCAGCTGGGGATGGGAATGTTGGGTGTGGCTCTCACTGAGGGGGAAGGCTGCCCCCATCTTCGTGTATACCCGTGGTCACCAACCAGTAGATCGTGATCTACCGGTCGATCGCAGGGGCTCTATGAATCGATCTTTAGCTCCTTCTGGGCTGAGCACAGTGCAGCTGGGCTGGATCATAGGGCAGTGGCTGCCCGGCCAGCTGGCTGTGGTGTTCAGCCCAGGTATTAGCAGCATGCTCCATTGGTGACTTGTTGGTATGTGGTTGTTTTCTTCAAAACTTTTATGAATCTAAGTGTTCCATTGAATATTTTTAACAAATAAGTGACTGTCAAGGGGCAACCTTCCCTGGAGGTCCCTCAAGTTTAGCCCCTTTTTGTGGCCTACGCGCTGGGGTCTCTATGAGTCCCTCTCTAGGGAACACAATATGTCTTCATAGCCTAAGTCCGTACCCTGGCCTTTACGGTAGGGCTGATGTGGTCAGACAGCCAAAGTCTAGTCCTTCATCCCCGCTTATTAGGCATGATATGGCCCAGAGGACAAAGTCCTTCCACGGGCCCTACCGGGGGCTGCCGGATGTCTCTCCTGTCATCTGTAGGCTGTCCACCAGCACTGAAAGTAGTAGCTCTTGGCCCAACTGCTGCTGGAAGTTCTGGTCGCTCTTCCTGTCCGGAGGTATCCTAGTGGCTCCTTCCCCATCAGCAGTCAGCCCCGACTGAGCTGTCCCAGGGCTTTTTATAGTCTGGGTCCACCAGGAGCATGCCCAGAAGAGCTGTGTGGGAGGGGCTCTTTCAACCAGTTGGGCAGACCTCACACCCTGCTCGTCAGTTCAGGGTTGATATACACCGTCACAGTGATACAGGCAGAAAAGAAGCAATTCGTATGGAATGTGGTTTATATTTTAATGCATTGACTTTGTCTGGATAAAAATCAAGCATTTTACAATATTTTCTTTATATAGCTTGTATAACCATTTTATAAATAAGGCTAAATATAAAGGCTTCAGTTAACAGAGATTCTTTTAGCTTATGTGATAGAGGCTTTGGGAGCAGAAGTTTTGGCTTATGATTATGAGGTGCCTGATGTCATGGTGGATAGAATAACTGATGACCAATCAAGGCAGTCGCAAAAGCAGTTGTGTCCACTCTGAATAAAGAGAGATGTACTCTGTTGTTCCAGAACACTAAGGATTAAATTTGAATAAGAAGTTAGGGGGATGGAAATTAAAAAATTCACAATAATTTCTTTTGCACACAGGTTTTTGTGTGTTGCCTTTTCAACACTTTAATTGTCCTGGACACTCATTAATGGATCTTCAAGTTGCCCTTTTGTTTCAGACCAATTCCAAAAGCCAAATACACAGAGAAGGATTAGAATTTAACTTCATTCACAAGTTTAATTCTTATGCTAATGGTGTAAACAAGGATATTGGATGGTTCGCATGCTATCTTCCACCTCTTAATAACTTAAGCAACCAAACAAACAATGGAGGTGCTAATGGTTCTTAACAGATTCCTGTAACTACTTGAACTATCTATTCACCATCTACATGTTTTGTTGGTCCTTAGAGTGCTGATTGTTGTTTTTTAAGTTGTATCTACTTACTGTCTCTCATTTCTTCCTCCCCTTCCCTTTTTCTCCCCCTCCTCTTTCCCCCTCCTTCACTTATTTATCCGTGGATCTGGATTCATTATACTCGGGTCATCTGAAAAAGGTTTTGCCCATGAAAGCTCATGATACCGTCTACGTGTTTTGTTAGTCTTTAAAGTGCTACTAGACTATTTGTTGTTTTTAAAGTTTTTCCTTTTACAGACTAACTCGGCTACCCCTCTGAAGCTTGTAAAAGTATGTTCAGTCTCTCACATCCTAAGGACCGGGGGGCAACCAGGTGACACCTTGCCCAGGAATCTGAACAAAGGAGGGGGTGGGGCTGCCTCCAGGCTGGGGGACCAGTTGCTGGGTGAGAGTCACTCTGGGCTGGTGGAGGATGCAGGGAGGGGGGCAGGGTGCTGGCTCTGGGCCCCCTCTCCACATTGGACTGTGCTGACTGCTTCTGGCTCCTGTCTTAACAGCAAGTCTGTGCCACGCTGCGTCCTTGTGAACCAATAAACCCTCTGCTCTACCTGCCACCTGAGTGTCACGTCTGGCTGCGGATGGGGGTGCAGGGCCTGGGGACTCCCCCACATTCTGACACAGTGATAATGAAACTGATGTTGCAAACATTCCTGAGTGTGGCGAGCAATACCAGAACTAGTCTAATGAAACCAGTGGGACAACTCATCTTGCCCAGAAGCATCTGCATAATTGGGCTCAATGTGTGTTACTGGTACACGTTAATTTACAGCCATCTTTAAACTAGGACATGTACAAATCAATTAAATGGGCATCATACAAGTTTCCCAAAGAGACCCAAACAACCCCCTCCCCCAAAAACACTCCACACACACACACACCCCCCCACCCACCACCTGGGGTAAAAGCAAGAATATCCTGGCAAACCTCCACACAGCTAGTGTTGTTAATTGACCAAATACACTGAAAGATGAATTACCTCCTAGTTTTCCTCTAACAACATCCAAGGCTTCCTGATACTTCCCCAAACGTTCCAGTATCATGTAGTAAAGTTCAACCTTAGAAGAAAGAGATTTGGATACACTGACATTTGGAACTAAAACAAGTAAAGTGTCTGGAAATAAAAGCAGTTTGTGCTTCTGTTGTGAGGAAGAGGAGAATGTTAATGCTGCCTGTAAAATTAACAGCCATCTGAGAGGAAAACTCAAAAATTTAACACCCTCAATCACAAAGGATCCCCTGGGCTTTACAGACACTACAAAGGAATCACTTCACCTAGCAATGAACTCTGCACAATTTCACCACATCTACCCTCACACTTCCTTCTACACCCCCTTTCATTTCTTATGCTCCTCTCCCCCCCTCATCGCTCCCTCTAACTCCCTGCTTCACACATCATTTCATGCTGAGGCTTGCAGGGGTCTCCTACTTCTCAAAACTCCCTTTGGTCATGGGGCCTCCTGGGCAGATAAGCTGACTGTTGATATTCCCCCTACCCATCTATGCATTTACATTGTATTGGGATTTTGGCCCTTCGAGGACAGCAGTGAAACCTTTGTTATCCTGCATTCTGTTAGCCAGAATGCCCCCCAGCCACAATACTGTCACATCTTCAGGCGCACAGGCCTGGCTTGGTTTACCATGATTGGGTTAAATAAAAAATTAAGAAGTACTAATCATCTTTAACTCAAAATAGAAATGTGAGACCAACTGCCTCACACTACAAAACTACCAATATTAAAAACCTGAGTTTTACTATTATCGTCCATTGGCTTTTCCTAGGTTGATGGGACCCTCAGATAACCGGAATTTTTAGATAATTGGAACGCCCTAATCCCCGAGCGCGCCGGACAACACAGGTTTTACTGTAATATGTATGTAAGATCTTGACCACAGTCTCTGTTAAGAATCTTTCACATATGCCCAAACTCCACGGGCCTGGTCTGAGGCCTAGTTAACAATGGACAATACATGGCTAAAGAAAGGTTGAAATAAGCAAGAAACAGACATGTTTGTTTAACCAGCCATAAACAAGCTAAGACAGCAAAACCCCAGGCAGGGAGCAGTAATTGGGGACTCATCATGCGTTGCACGTAGTTCACAGAGGTGCCTTGGAGACTCCGTGGTTCAGGACAAGATAACAAGTACATACTCCCTGAATGCCAACCAGAGTTCAGGGAGAGGGCTAGCATGTCAGCATAAGTTATAGCATCCATCCCTCACAGATGCCAACCCGAGCTCAAGAGAACGCACTGATAAACTGTACACAATTGTCATTGCTGTGTACGGTTTACTATTCTTTTTGCTTTAAGACCCTCTAAGAATGTACCTGTGGGCCAACCTGCCTGGGAAGGGCCACTGTCATTTCCATGGACCTGAAATCAGGATTTAACTTACACCTTGCAAGAGGAAAAGTTTGAGGGATAACACCTGTGTATTAGCAAACATGTTAACCTGAGCTATGGGTGGAGCAATGACGTAACCTTTTAGATTATTGACATATTGTGCTAATTTTGTCTTGCTGCTAGAACCTATCCAGGGGCCCGGGAACTCCCACCCCATTGCTTCTCTCTGCCCATTGGCACCCTATATAATCTATAGTAATTCATTGTTTGGCAGTCTGACTGAGCCTAACAGCAAAGTGACACTCCGCCAGCGCTGTGCGTAATAAACCCTCGTGCTTGGATCTATATGGTGTCGCACTTCTGTCCTTTCAAGTCCTGTTCAACTACATTCCAGTTTTCAGTTCTGACTTTTACTTTTTCACTGCTATTGGTTACTTCCGCATCCTTGGAACCTCAAAAAAATTGTTATATAGGTTCTTTTGAATTATAACCAGATTTCCCAAACTTCTGCATTTAATTAGCAATGAAAATCAATTTTTTAAAACAAACACGAACATACATCAACATTTCTTTTGTCTCCCATGTTTCTGCATCGAGTGTGACCAGACAGGAAAGGCTGCTGACCACATTGCTTTGTTTGACCAAGAGGAGAACCCCAGCAAGCATGGCCAGGCTGTGTAACAGCAGAAAAAGTGAACAAGACATGTATTTCACATTCACTCCCTTGGAAGAATCTTACCATTTTGTTTTCTCAAAGTCAGCTGTAAGCCTGTAGGGCTCAGAGAGGGGCGCCTCCCTCTCAGAATCAGTGGGCAGCCACTCCGCCTCACTACCCCTTGCTTAGTCTCTTGGGGGAACTAGCTAGGCCTGTCAGCTCTTCAGGGCTGGTGGCCAGTCAAGAAACAGTCCAGGGCCCGGGCCCAGGCCCTGCTCAGGTCAGGCGGTGAACAGGGAAACAGTTTGGAGCCCCAAGCCTTGGTTTGGGGTGGGGCAGCAAACAGAGTCCAGCAACCCAAACTCAATTCAGGGCGGGGCAGCACACAAAGTTCTAAAAGCCAAGCCCTTATTCAGGGCGTGGCAGCTGTGTACCCAGCTGGGTCCCCTTCCTCAGACAGGGGTCCGGCAGATTCAGGCTGCTGTGGAGCAACAGCCAAGGGGGAGACTGCCACCCAAGAGTGGAGTGGCAGGGGGGACATGAGGCCCACCCATACTACTGCATCGTAGCCCAGGGCCGTGGTTGCAGCAGAGCGGTTTGCTGCTAGGTCAGTGGGGATCCATAACGCTGCCAGAGCTCTGTCTTAGCTCACAAAGCATCAGCTTTCCCTGGGCTACTTCCAAACTCCCCTAAGTCTGTACCTGGGTTCTGGGTGAGTCTTCGGGGCTCTAGCACATTGGCAGTTTGGGTCCAGGGAGCCCCCCAGTAGGGGCCCCTGGGGCCCAGGCCAGTCCCCTGCCTCTCCTGGGTCCAGCGCTTCCTCTGGGACAACAGAAGGCTTCTGACTCCTTCCAGCACACAGCTCACACTGACCTCTCTGGTAG